ATTCTTCCTTAAAAGTTTACCTCAAAGCCCATTATGCCCCATTATGTCAGGAACTGAAAATGGGGGGTCCCCGTTAACCGCTTGTGTACTGTGTTGGATTCTTTTTTTTTCCCTTTTTTTTGTGGTTGTTCTGATCTGTTTTCATTTATACGGGTTTTGTTTGCTGCTCGTGATTCAGTGCGTACTAGAATCGCAGTCCCGGCCAAACCGGTCCTTAAACCGCCAGTACACGGCACCAGGCAACTTGAGAAAAAGAATGGGTCTTTTTTTTTTTTTTTTTTAACGACACGCCCCCACCAGTGTTAGTGGTGCTGATAAGAGCAGACACCACTAACACCTGGGGGTGGCTCCATCTATTGGTGGGGAGCATCACCTGCTGGGAAACGGGCCCAGCGTCCCATATGCAACAGTATGTCAGAAAAAGAACCATTGTGGGAGCGTCCTGCCAGCATTGATTACCCTGGCATCGAGGGGATTGACTGAGCAGGAGGTAGGGGAAAAGAATGGGTCACTTCTAAAATTTTGGAGGCTCGGGGCTACCGGACCATGAGTGCGACGCTTTGCAGGGTCGGGTGTATGTGCTGGCGGTTCGGCAGTGCTTGGTGCACAGCGTGAGGTGCGAGTCCACCTCACGCTGTGCACCAAGCACTGCCGAACCGCCAGCGGCACACTTCTTTTTTTTTTTTTGACATGAAGTATGTAGTATGTACATTGTGCTGCCGTTTTCGCCTTTTCTGAGGCCGGTTTTGCGGTCTTTATCGTTGTCTTAGTTCAAGTTTGTTTCCATCATCCCATAGTGTGCCTTGCTCGCCTGCTCGCGTGTGCTACCACAACGAAATATTAATGATCTATGATCTATCTATGTTTGCAAATTGCTTTAACTATGGTTTCGGGTCGGCTGATATTGCAGGCGGGATGTTCCGATACCAGGAATGACGATTCATCAAACTCCTGTTTAATTGACACTCAGTATACCGAAGAAAACATGCGGACCTGTGGTAATGAAGCCGACACGGCGGGCGGGGGCAGCTACTCTAACTCAGACAGGGATTTCCGGACCCTTGGGGAGGCTACACGGATTTCTAAGCCGATGATATTCGAGCTTGCATCTGCTTTGCAAGAGGGCAACTTGAAAGCTGCGTTATCGACGATCGAAGCAGCGAGGAAAGAGGTCGTGTCCGCAGACAACGTGCCACCGCAAGAACTTGTCGTTCTAGACGAAAGCATGAAAGCGCTGTCGAGGGAGCTCTTCCTGAAGTTGTATGGCCTGGAACAAGGGAATGCATATGGACGTGCACCTCGACCAAATCCTGTGGTAAGCCCTTTCCTTGCCACCAGAAGCTTGGCGTTTGTCTGCATGTTCGCCATGGCAGTTGTCACCTGGGTCTTCAGCTCTCAGGACGACCTCAATGTCCATCTTCTCCCAACATAAGACCCTTCACCAATCTTCGAAGCCAAACAGAAAAAAGGGTTTCAAGTTATAGCATGGAAGTGGCGCTTCTTTTCTTGCTTGCTGGCATTCTGTGTCGACGATGTTGGCTTCCTCCCCATACTTCTGTCCCGTCCCATCTTGGGTTCACCACCGGCTTTTTTTCGTAAAGTCTACAAGTTGCAGGGGTAATGACGACACCTGTGTACTACCAACATAAGATTTCTATTCTCGGTGGAGCGTTGGAGCGAGAAGGGGTTGGAACGGGAGTGGATTTTCTTTCTCGCCAGGTAATGACGACACCTGCGTACTACCAACATACGATTTCTATTCTCAGTGGAGCGTTGGAGCGAGAAGGGGTCGGAATGGGAGTGGATTTTCTTTCTCGCCAGCATTCTTCGCTGCCGATATCGATTTCTTTCCGAGGATTCCGTGCTGCCAATATCGCGCTGTTTCGCATTTTGGACTCGAAGCATGCATGCATGCTGTTCGAAGTGTGTCCCGTTTTGTCTCTCAAGCCGGGTCCTGTTCCAGTTACCGCGGTAACGACAAGGAACGACTTTTGTGCCTAAAGATTGCAGGTTCAAACTTTCGGTGTTCGAACACTTTGGCCGTGGGAGGGGCAAAGGCAAAGCTAGGAGGGCATCGGAATCGCCGACCTATCAAACGCCAACGACGAGAACAGCAACGACTGCAGGGGCCGCACGTCAGCAAGATGTCAAACTGTGACAGCTCTGGTGGAGGCCAAACAAACAAAAAAAAAAAAAAAAAAAAAAAAAAAAAAAAAGGTTCCCTTGAAGATTGCATGAGACCTTTTTAAGTAAAAAGGAAGTCGCATTTCTCTTGCAAGGACTGTGTAAATTATCCAATCGCTGCTGAGACTGGCGCAACTTCCTAGTAAGCATTATTTTATCAACAGATTTCAACAAAGGCTTTGCCATCACAGGAGGATCAGGTTCAAAAAAAAAAAGGGGGGGGGGGGAAAGGGTTCAGGTTCCCCCCCCCCCCCCTTTTTTCTGAAATTGAACCCTGTGAAGGCAAAGACTTTGTTGAAATCTGTTGATAAAATAATGCTTGCGAGGAAGTTGCGCCAGTCTCAGCAGCGATTGGATAATTTACACAGTCCTTGCAAGAAAGGGACGCTGGACCCGGTTTCCAGCAGGTGATGCTCCCCACCAATAGATGGAGCGGCCCAGGCAAAGCCTCAATCCCGGTGGTTCTCTTACCACCACCAGGATAGAGGCCTTGCACATGGGGCCTTAAAAAAAAAAAGAAAAAGGGTTCCGGTTTCTTGAGTCGCCGAAGCTTCTTCACTGGCAATTAACGACAGCGATCATTTTTTGAACAAGTGGTGGATCGTGCAGATGGCGCCATGGTGGTGCAGAAGGAGAACCGTCTATAGCCCAACCGGAGCGAGGCAGCCCCAGAGACGTGAACAGGGGTACAATTCATACGACCATACAAGCGATTTGAGGGAGTATGCAGTGGGGGCCATAGGAGTGGGGGTGAAATTCAGAAATTCTTTTGAAAATTCGAAAAGAGACGTACGGATTTACGGAATGCGTGACTCGCGCTGATTTGTAACTCTAACCCTGAATTCCCCTCAACATGTTATTCCTTTCTTTTTTTTTCTTTTTTTTTCAAACATGTTATGCCTTTCTCTTTTAGGCAATGTGGTGTTGATCATTCTTTATACAATTGCAGTGCTTTGATGAGCCTTCCATTTTAGGAAACTTGAGGAAAGAAAAGAGGGTGTTACAAATTTTACATATATCCTGTCTTGGTCCCAATTCTCCCCGTTCAGTTTCGACTTGAACACAGACCGGAGGAGGGATCATTCTCGCAGCACGGAGCATTGCCAAATAAGATGGCAAGCTTTCGGCAGAGCGACACTGATAGACGAAAGGAGGCGAGCATGACATTGAGAGCAAGAAGCGTGGACTGGTGGCTTGGCGATGGCGAGCTGCTGCTGCTCGTAGAGCTTTTCTCTCACGCCGTGGTTTTGTGAGTGTTTGAGAACCAAAGTCTCATGTGTGATGGGTATAAGAAATGCGACAGGTCTTCAATACCCTCCCCCCCCCTCTCTCTCTCTCTCTCTCTCTCTCTCTCTCTCTCTCTCTCTCTCTCTCTCTCTCTCTCTCTCTCTCTCTCTCTCTCTCTCTC